GATGAGCCAAATTGGTTTAATTATTTTAAATTGTTTTTTTATTTCACATTATATTTATGTTATTCTGACTGTTCACTGCCCTGAGTCCTTCAGGAGAAGGGCGGTATAAAAATTAAATAAATAATAATAATAATAAAGTATCTGTTTTCATATTATTTGGAAAAGAACAATAAGAGTTGGACTAGGATCGCGTAGACCCTGTTCCAAGTCTACTCTTCATCATGGAAGTTCAACCCAACCTACCTTCAGGATTGTTGTAGGAATGAAGTTCGGATCACCATATAAGCTATTTTGAACTTCTGCAGAAAAGTTGGAGTGGACATCTATGTTTAGTTGCTGATACTTATTGGTTGCACTGACACTTCAGTATTGTGTTTTTAACTTCGTATGATTTTATTGCTGAAGGCTTTCTTACACATTTTGCCCCGAGAAGAGCATATTTAAACTGAATAAGTAAGCAAATGAATCAATCAGTCACAAAAACATGGGGAAGAAATGAGTTAGAATAGACCTTGGAGGTCTTCTAGTTTAACCTCCTGCTAAAGCAGGAGACTCTAGAAAGAGTGCAGAGAAGAACAACAAAGATGATTAGGGGACTGGAGGCTAAAACATATGAAGAATGGTTGCAGGAACTGGGTATGTCTAGTTTGATGAAAAGAAGGACTAGGGGTGACATGATAGCAGTGTTCCAAAATCTCAGGGGCTGCCACAAAGAAGAGGGAGTCAAGCTATTCTCCAAAGAGGGTAGGACAAGAAGCAATGGGTAGAAACTAATTAAGAAGAGAAGCAACCTACGACTAAAGAGAAATTTCCTGACAGTTAGAACAATTAATCAGTGGAACAACTTGCCTCCAGAAGTTGTGGGTGCTCCAACACTGGAAGTTTTTAAGAAGATGTTGGATAACCATTTGTCTGAAGTGGTGCAGGGTTTCCTGCCTAAGCAGGGGGTTGGACTAGAATACCTCCAAGGTCCCTTCCAACTCTATTATTCTATTCTATTCTATTCTATTCTATTCTATTCTATTCTATTCTATTCTATTCTATTCTATTCTATTCCATTCCATTCCATTCCATTCCATTCCATTCCATTCCATTCCATTGCATTGCATTGCATTGCATTGCATTGCATTGCATTGCATTGCATTGCATTGCATTGCATTGCATTGCATTGCATTGCATTCCATTGCATTGCATTGCATTGCATTGCATTGCATTGCATTCCATTCCATTGCATTGCATTGCATTGCATTGCATTGCATTGCATTGCATTCCATTCCATTCCATTCCATTCCATTCCATTCCATTCCATTCCAGACAAATAGCTATCTGGGGTTACAATTCCCAAATTCTTAGTCAGGCTAAAGAAGGCTGGTTCATCCAGGTTCTCCAGCAGATTTCATATTATTTTATTTCTTTAAGTGGAAATGCAAATGATTGAACCCAGAACCATCTCTATGGAATGGACAGTGTTCTCCAACAGATCTATCAATGGGTCATGGTAGAGCTAACAGCACCCAGGGAGGAAACTGCTTCTCAGGTTGCAGTACCAAACAGAAGCAAAGTGGCAAAATGGGAATGCAAAGGAAAATATTTTCAGTGAAATTTCCACTTCATTTAAATGACTATGTTTCTTGCAGGAAAAGTCAACACTGTGGAAATTCAGCAGCTCTGTCAGAAACACAGGCAGAGAGAAGTGTTTGAACATTTACAATAACCTGTTCCACCTTTATCTCATTTTATAGCCTGTCCTTTGTCCTTCTTACAGCACGAGGACACCACCTTACATAGACCCGAGGACAGATAAAACAATGGTCTTGTGGTCTAAACAGTCTAAATAAGTATTTAGGTGGAACGTGATATGGAAATTTGATGCAGGCAGTCTTGATTTCCATGATGGGAAAAACAAGTGAATACTGGGGAAAAAAATGGTCAAGTTAATACAGAAGCTTTCAAGCTAGAACATGGCACAGTTTATTGAAAGCTTTGGTTTTTTCACGATACACACAGTGAGTCACATTTATGGACTTTTAAAAGGGCAATGATAGACACATTTACCCTGTAAGTAAATCCCATAGAATTTCACAAGAATTATTTAACACAATAACAGAGTTGGAAGGAACCTTGGAGGTCTTCTATTCCAACCCCCAGCTCAGGCAGGAAACTCTATGCCATTTCAGATAAATGGTTGTCCAATCTCTTCTTTAAAATTTCCAGTGTTGGAACTTCACAACTTCTGGAGGCAAGTCATTCCACTGATTAATTGTTCTGTCAGGAAATCTCTTCTTAGTTCTAGGTTGCTTCTCTCCTTGATTATTTTCCATCCATTGCTTCTTTCTACAATCTATTTTATGCAGCAATTCTTACAAATTTGTAGACCAAATATGCATTCAATCACCTTGAGCATGAAGGAATAGCCTATTCCTTTTGTCACTGTTTTTTAAAACAATTTTACCTAATTTTAATTTCACTCTGCTCTCCTAATGAAATATGGGAAGATGTTGTGGGAAAATATTTCCACTAGAATTTTAAAAAAATAATAATATACCTGTAACGGGTAGGGATTGGGAAAGGGAATAAGGCCATTGTGTTCTTCCAGTAGCATAAAATAAATTAGGAAAGAGTAATGCATTTTTTTACGTATTGCACTCTTTAGCTTGGAGTCGACTCGGTTGCATTGTTAATATGACTGTGACAAGAGACAAAATAAGGGAAAGATACACACTGTACATCTAACTATCACAGCTGTTTAAGGAAGTAAATAATTTCAATAGGTCCTTTGGTGATGCTCAAACAGCACATGCTGAAGTCACAGTGGTAGACAGATTTCTCCCTATCACGCAGATTGATACAAATTCCCAGAACGCATATAGCTTTTTTTTACTTAGCACCAGATTCTTTGACGCTTTTATTTGGGGTAGACTATGTACATTTCACCTTTCCTGTTTTGAATGAGATAAGAGGATCCTTCCTGTCTCCCATAACTCTCATTTTTATGACTCTGTTCCACCTATTTGGCCATGTTTCTCAACACTGCCATTTAAATTCCACGGGGGTTGGCATGCTTTGTCTCTTTTTGAATCCCAAATTGGTATTTTGTGTCTTTTTAAAAATCCCAGCTATTTCCTTTAAAACAAAAATCTCATTCACCTTGTGGATAGAAATGAAACGAACCCTTTAGAACCATATATTCTCAAATTTGGCCATAGATAAAGGCAAACCCTTACCACTGTAGTATAACTAAATATTTTTTAAAAAGCAATAACTGAACAGAAAGAAACCTCCATCTAAACATTACAATCAAAAAGTCTGTGAATATGCAGTACGTAGCTTTTGATTTTTACATTCTACTGCTTTTAGTTCAATCCAAAGCATTCATTTCTTTTTTTTTTCTTCTTTCTCTACAGTTACATGAAGAGCTGAAATCACCCTGTGGATTTTGATGGATATAATTATTTTCATTAAAATCACAAACAGCACGATATTCCTTTTCCAAGGCAAACTGTAAAGGAATCTTATAGAAACAAGCCAAATATTTGAAGTAGGAATGTGCTTGGAGGATATTTAATAGCATTTTCTTATAATAGTATATATTACCAGTTACAATCTTCAGCATTTAAGTTCAATGTTTCAAGGGATGGGATGAGAATTTATTTGATCTCCCCCCCTCCCCAATCAAGTAACTATTAACAAAATCCAGAAAAGAGATCCCAAGGAAAACTGGGCCTTGCCTGTTTACATACGCAAACTCCAGCAAACAGGTTTTTCAATTAAATTAGTCTTCTGAGGGTGATCTAGGAAGAGCCAAGAGCTTCTTAAAAATCTTATTGCTTCGCATATATGCCACCTGGGGCTGCGGCCTGGTTCTTTTGCAGTAAAAAAAGAAAAAGAAAAAAAGTTTCTGTAGTGCCTGTCTGTTCTTTTCTGACATGCCCAGGTTTAATGGTTATTTGAGATGGATTGTGTTATTTTCACACATTCAGCAGCCCTGCTTTTCCATAACCATTTATGGTAGAAGACGGCACCTATTGCGGTCCCTTTTGCATCGTGAACAACTTTAATAAGGTAGGGTATCATTAGATGATAGCAGTTTTATATTGAATGCAAGGAGGAAATATAGACACTTCACCCAGCAAAGAGCCAGAAAGAGAAATAATAGATGCAATATACGGGAGAGGAATTTCCATTAATACAATCGAAAAGCAGCTTTAACTGCTACAACTTTTTCCTTCAGGGGTTTTCTTTCCCCCTCCCCTCTCCCAATAAAGTTGAACAATACTATGTTTATCATCACAAGGAGCGTAAAAGAAAGAAGGTGCTTTTGTTAGACGTTTTTACTCCCGAGCAAGCCTTTCCTGCAAAGCTGTTGGCTGTCAACCATGCATGAATTTCATGATTACTTCTCATGGAAAATACTATCGGAATAAACTTTGGAGCAAGCCCTGAAAATAAGTGACAAAATCAACTAGGACTGGAAAAAAAAAAATCTCTTCTAAGTGAGTAACAGCCAGAGAGCCAAGCAGCCCTGCCTGGAAAGTAACTTGCTTACCCTGCCTTTTCTCCAATTTGTAATGCAAGTACAAGCATGCTAAGAGCTCTTTTTTAAAAAAAAAAAAACATAAGGGCTCGTTCAATTGAGGGGTGGGAGGGAAGAGTAAAGAGCCGTTTTATTCTATAACAAAAGAACAATTTCTAATTATGCCTTGCTGTTTTAAGATGTGGGTTTTTCCTTTTTTTTCCTTCTTTTGTTTTCCGTGCGTTAAAAAGATCACTAAATGCTTCATTTCTCATGTAGGTTGGCTCTCCCTTTCTATGCTTTTGCTTGTGGGGTTTGGGAAAAGGACAACTATCACCTGTGTCAAAGAAGAAGAAGAAGAAGAAGAAGAAGAAGAAGGAGAAGGAGAAGGAGAAGGAGAAGGAGAAGGAGAAGGAGAAGGAGAAGGAGAAGGAGAAGGAGAAGAGAAGAAGAAGAAGAAGAAGAAGAAGAAGAAGAAGAGAGAAGAAGAAGAAGAAGAAGAAGAAGAAGAAGAAGAAGAAGAAGAAGCAGCGAAGAGAGTTCTTTACAGTTATTTTGCAGGTTGGTTGTCTTAGAAGAAGCTACACTTAGCTCTGATCAGTTTTGCTTGGCCATGTTAAACAGCCAAGGGATATATCATAGGCAGTTTTTTTTCATTATGTTTGAAAAGCTAGTCATCATTGGGCCTTTTTTTCCCCCCTATTTTTCAAAAACTGAAAAATACAGTATGTTTCTTAAGAAAGAAAGAAAGCTTTCCTTCTCTTGTTGGAAACTTTTTATACCCATAGAGGATTTAGGTTTTATTTTCATTTTTTTTTTAGCCTGACAAACAAAATGTAATTTTCATCAAGCTATTGTTCCAAAAAGTGTTTTTCAAACGTCAGCTGGATTTTCTTGGGTTTTATTTTTTTTTTTCCTTGAAAAAAGAAGCTTTTTCGATTGTGGCTGAAGATATTTATATTTTGTAAGCTGCCCTGAGAATGAGTCGGTTGCCATATAAATCAGACAGACAGACAAATAGACAGACAGACAGACAGACAGATGCCATGTTTCCCCAAAAATAAGACCCTCTCTTATATTTTTTTTGAACTCTGAAATAAGCGCTTGGCCTTATTGCCACGCGCTCAAAAGCCTGATTGGGCTTATTATCAGGGAATGTCTTATTTTGGGGAAAACAGGGTAGATAGATGGATAGATGGATGGATGGATCGATCGATCGATCGATCAATCGATAGATAGATAGATATATAGTCAGTCACCAAAGGAACATTTTCCAAAGTGTCCATTTGAAAACCTTTACAAGAAATCCTTTGCAGAGATGATGAAGGAAGGAGAACCTTTGACGTAGGCCAAGGATGGAATCAGTGAGACCAGCTTAGAAGATGCTAACAAATCAATGATGTTGCCCAACAGTATTTCCTCACACACATCTTCCAAAGTAAAATCTATTTTTTTTCCTTACTAGCACACTCTTAAACAGAAAGCAAGTTTGGAAAGAAAGTCAGACAAAAAGAAGAATATGTAGATTGTGGCTCAAAGGCTGGAAAATAACAAGCTTTCATAATGGCAACAGTTGCAGGAATACTCTCGAGTCATTAGAAGCAGGAAGTTAATAAACAAGGGCAATCATAACAATAATGGAATGGTGGGTGTTTTTCCCTCCCAAAATGTGTCATATGGAAAAAATTTAGGTTTTAAAAACAATGTAACAATTGACAATGGTCGCCAAAAAGGACATGTCAAAATACTTGGGGAAAATTGCTTGTCTATGATCCCTAAGAAATCTAGCAAAGGAATTCTTCTCTGCGATGGGTTATTTTTTTTGTTTGTGTGTGCTGATTTGTTGATTTTGTTTCAAAATGAAAACATTTCTATTGTGCAAAAGGTGCTTTAAGCCTCTGGTTTTATTTTTTTTAAGGTTAAAAAAAATACATGTTCCATGTGCCTATGGGAAAACCAGAGGTTATTATAATATGAAGGAGGGGGGGGGAAGCTCTGTGTAAATGGTGCTTTTAGTATACTAGAGTGGAATTGGATATTCACAAATGTTTAGATTCTGTTTCCTGAAACTGCAATCCCAGATAAAATAGCCCATTTTAATAATCTCTCAAAGGTAGCATGATGTTTTATACCACTAGCAAAATAGAAGTAAAAATCCATTTTATAGGGATGATGCAGAAGAGCATTCCAGAACGACATATATAATTTAAGAAAACACAATACCGATAATGCCATCCAAATGGAGAAGGAGAAGAAGAAGAAAAAAAAAAACTGCTGTAAGATTTAAAGCAACTATAATAAAAACAATCAGACTTCCCCAAAGATTTAGTAGAGCAGCTCGGCAGGACAGCGAAGGATAAAATGCAGCTCATGCTCGAAACTTAACAATATCCCTTTTCTTTTGGATTAAGAACCTAATCTCATCTTCCTTTTAATGTCAAATCTAGAAATAAAGTCCAGGCACTAATCTTTTGTACAGATACTTAGGAGTAAGTTCCCCTCCAATGGCTTCGTCAAGCTGGACCAACAATAAAAAAATCAAGGGTTAAATTTGCTGAATGAATGAAGCTAAAATAATTTACATTGCTAGTATTTCCGGCTGGCTCAAGGGCGAGATTCTTAATGCCACTCCGCTACTTGTGGGAGCATATATATATAGCAAGCTGTCTTAATAAAATTAACAATAAGCTACTTTCACCGCTAGATCTTGGGAAAGGAAGCATAGTGTGTCACACACCCTTCTTAACCTGTCTGCCATGCGATGTATATATTTTTATTTTTTTTAAAAAAGAACTTTTTACAAAGAATATTTTAAAGAAACCAGAATGAATCCAGATTCGCAACTGTTGTTTCATCCATTAAATATTACATTGGATTTCTTGCATAAATCAACCTCTGGGCTTTTAAATTCTGTGCATTTGGGTGCTTCACTAAAGTCAAATATTTCACATGCTAAAACTGGAAGTAAAATTGGCACCAAAGTGTATGTAAAACAAATTCCCTGGAGTTTGCGGTTTAAGAGGGAAAAGGCGTCAGAGGAAGAGACAGAAGAAAAATTCTTGGTAGTATTGAGTTTCATTTGATATGATATCATACCTAGGAACAACTTTAGCAGAAATTGTTTTCAGTTCCGTTGGAGGAAGTTATTGGGGTTAGAAAAATTGTAAATCCTGGTTAGAAGTCTTCATTAGCTGTTATATAGACTCACACCATTCCAGAATTGGTATAGCTTTATATGCAACATCTTAATGGACGTATGAAGGTGGCTAGTACCAACGTTTGAAATAATATACAGGTAGTCCTTAACTTACTAAACAGTTCATTTAGTGGCCATTCAAAGTTACAACAGCACCAAAACAAGTGATTTATGACCCTTTTTTCACTCTTACAATTGTTGCACCATTGCCATATTCCCATGAACAGTATTCAGATGCTTGTTTATGACGGTTTTTATGATGGTTGTGTTGTCCTGGAGTCGCCTGATCACCTTTGGCGAACTTCTGACAAGCTAACTTAATGGGGAGGCCAGATTCACTTAACAACCATGTTACTAACAGAACGACTGCAGTGATTCACTTAAGAGCTGTGGCAAGAAAAACCGTAAAATGGGGCCAAATTCACTTAACAAATGTTTCGCTTAGCAACAGAAATTTTGGGCTCAATTGTGGTCTAAGTCAAGGATGAACTGTAGTAAATGTTTCATCCTGTGGGAACTCAGACAACGGACAATGGAAACTTGAGGTAGCTCAGGAGATTGTTGTGGTGTGCAAATGACAAAAGAGCTCACTATCTGAACGTCTTTGTGCCATACAGTGTACGGACAGTCAGAAAAAGGGAGGAAGCATATTTCAATCTCTCTGGGATTAAAAAAAAGTTCACTAGCAATTTGCTGCCTACGGAGTCCACAAACCTTGGAGCCAAGGGCACTTTGCTTAAATCAAATAAAAGATATGGCAAAGGCATCCAATCCTGATTCTAAAATCTGATTTACAAGCGCTTCCTTCACCAAGTAGCTATTCTTCCTCTCCCCCAACAACCCCCCCCCCCCGCTCCTCTGAGCTCCAAGACTCCCTGACAGTCTCTTCTGCAGGGTTTTTTTTTTAACCTTACTTTACTATTGGAGATGGCAGAGAAGCTACTTCTGATGTTGTTGTCATTTTCTATTACACAATGGCTTTACACAACCTCCTTGAGGGCCCATACTTCCCAGTCTGAAAAACGGCAGTGGGAGAAATTCTTTCACCGATATCAAATGCCAGAAAAAAAAACGACAGGCTGTTGTAAAAATAATTGTACACGGACACCTGTGGACTGTCGCACAGATGCCCTTTGGCTTCCTCCTAACTAAGTAAGCATGAACATTATCCCCTCCACTTTAGGAGATGCCCAGAGGGAACCCTAAAGGCAAAGGCTTCAAGGGAGGGCAAAAGCAACAATTGCGCTGTCATGACACAAGGTCCAGGCCTTTCATGTATATGTGGTGACACTGCAGGCAACTATGAAAGAGATAAAACTTGGGTCAGGGTGATGCAACATCGCTTTCATTATTTTGATAAAAGCACTGGTAGCTCTGCGGGTCTCTGAGAACCAGCCTTCCTTCCTTCCTTCCTTCCTTCCTTCCTTCCTTCCTTCCTTCCTTCCTTCCTAATTTTTCTTTAAAGGTAAAGATAAAGGTTCCCCTCGCCCATATGTGCTAATTGTTCCCGACTCTAGGGGGCAGTGCTCATCTCCGTTTCAAAGCCGAAGAGCCAGCGCTGTCCGAAGACGTTTCCACGGTCATGTGGCCGGCATGACTAAACGCCAAAGGTGCAAGGAACGCTGTTACCTTCCCATCAAAGGTGGTCACTGTTTTTCTACTTGCATTTTTTACGTGCTTTCGAACTCCTAGGTTGGCAGAAGCTGGGAAAAGTAATGGGAGCTCACCCCGTTATGCGGCACTAGGGATTCAAACCGCTGAACTGCTGACCTTTCGATCGACAAGCTGAGCGTCTTAGCCACTGAGCCACCGCATCCCTCTAAATATTTTTTTTTACAGCCGCCCAACTCCGATGGTCTTTGGGCATGTTTAGTTTTACTTTTAGCCCACCCCATCTGCTATCTTCCAACCACGCTCTTGAATATAGCTCATCCATCCCCAGCCAGCCATGCAAATGTTCAGGAACAGGGTATGGTGTTTGCATTCAGCCCTTAAAAGAGGGTAAGTTTGGGGATAATAGTCTGAATTGGGACAACTCGCCACAGACAACTCATCACAATCAATTCACCACAGCCAGGTCTAGCTGCTCGGCTGCAAAGTTCTGTTCATCTAATGGCCTTCACAGATAAGGCATTTTCCCAGCTGGATTTAACCATGTTCTGTGAAGAATACTATCGTAATTATTGATGATAATCAGAGGAAACTGTAATCATTACCTACTGTCAATAGACATGAGCTGCTTCTATCAGGAAGACCTGAACACTGGGGTAATACAGTGATTCGTATTTGTGTATTTATGCGTGTACAGTGCAGTGTTCCATTCTGATATCCTAAAGAAAACTAGTAGCAGAATAATACAAGACAGATTTAATCCAAGCAGCAATTTTCTAGGTGTGCATCATGGTATTATATTGCCAAGTGGTCTCTGGAGTTTTGTCACAAGTTACAGTGCGATATCTCTGGCCTTTTCCTATCTTTTCCTTCTGATGGGTCAAGGCACAATCAGGGCATTTTGAGGATTCCCAAAATACTTTATCCAATAGTCTGATCCAGGAACCAGGGGATGCATTCCTCTGATAAACTCACCTCTGTCCATTCCTTCTTTTTGAAGAGTTTTGTTTTCAAGTCATTTGACCGTGTTATGATGCAGGGAACTCCGAGATCTACATTCGTGGTTTTAATATTTCTTTCTGTTTCCTCGGGAGAATGAAAGAAATGGGCTCAGCCCATTTCTCTAACCCCGTTACACCTAATGTTGCTAATGTTGCTTAAAGATGATAATGTTTTATTATCTTTCCTAATCATAGGACTAACAAAATATAAAAGCCAAAGCTTTCACTGGTAAGAGCAATGCTGATAGCATAAATCAGTACAAGGTCTTTCCTAGTCTGCCTCCGAAGAATGCAGATTTTCCCCGTCTGAATGTATCATTCACTATTTTAATAACTGGTACTATTAAGGTGCAAATTGCAACTTTTAAATAATGATTGCTAATAGCCTTATGTTTACTGCCACACAAGGACTTTCACGAAAACAAATTCTGCATTATTCATTTCTAGTTCCCATAAACAAAGTAGATGCAGCTGGTTTCCTTCCCTCTCTCTCTCTCTCTCTCTCTCTCTCTCTCTCTCTTTTTCTTCTTTTCTTTTCTTTCCTCTGTTGTACTTTTGGCCTTATGCTTCTTAAAAGGGAAACCTCTCAGGGCCCAACAGAGGTAGGAAAGGGGAACCAAAGGGCAGGGAGGAAGCAGAAAAGAAAACTATTAAGTTTAGGTTTATATTCAAGAGCAACGAACAGCAAATTTACGATGTACAAAATAAAATATGCACATCTCAACAAGCTCTAGGAGGAGAGAAGAGCATAATCCTGTGGAATTGGGTTTGAAAGCTATTTCCGATATAGAAAAATAAAAATGGAATTAACATATCAATTCAGTCCTAGTCCTAGTTTTTTCCTTTCCATTGTGTTGAGTTCACACAACGGCAATTCCCCAGAGTCACCTGCATTTTTGTCATTCAGAAACAACAGTTCCTGGCCTGATTCTCCTCTTCCTCTCTTCTCTTCTATATCATCTCATTGGCTGCGAGAGCATTTTCTGCTGTCTTGGAGCCATGGGAGGAGAGGAGAATCAGGCAGACAATCTGTAAAGCACCTTGGGCTCTTTTGGGATGGAGGAGAGCAACGCACATGATAATATATCATCGCAAGTCAAGATATGATGTAATGTCAGGCACTGACCTAAAAATATCCAAACATCTGCTTAAAGAATTAGGCAGACAATAGCCAAAAAAAGAACAATTGCTGCTGAGAAAGGAGTCCAGAGGAACATATGCATTTGACCCTCTCTGTTTTCCCTGACTCAGAGTACCATTTCTGAAGATGCTTTTGGAAAAGAAAGGAGAAAAAGTGCCTTCCTCGTCCCCTTATCCACTTACATTGCTTGATTTTCATTACGGCACTCTGTAAAATATAAGGTTGTCATGGCTTAAAATTAATGGGGAAGGGGGGAAGAGGAATTGTCATGTTTCCAGGATCCAACGGGCCATCCTCCTTGATTCGTTTGCTTGTTCTCTCTAACCTTTACGACGTTCATTAATCAGAGGAGAAACCTGTTTCCAAAGTAGATGCTTGGACGTAATTATTTACAGTTGTGCATAGGCATTAAATCCAAGCCATAACCAAGACAGCTAAATCCAAAACCCCATCACTTAACTTTCTTTCTTTTTCTCTCCCCCCCCCCCAACCTCCCTCTTACAGACTGGCAGTCTCAAAAGTTGTAAACTTTATTTTTTTTTTTCTGAATCAAACCCAGTCAAACTCGTAATCAGTCAAAAGAATCAGACAGACCTTTCCCAACATTTCCCCCTTTTGCTCTTTCTCCCTTTTGAAGAGGAAGATTAAAGGCTCAATAAAGAAAGCCAAAGAGAGAATAGTTGTGCCAAACATCGGGATAATCAATTATTTCCTTCCCTTCCTCCTCCTTCTGTTCCAAGGCCACACTGTGGCACAGAGATTTTGAGACGGTATTCAGCTCTTAAAACAGAACCTTTTTTCATTGGAACGCGAGAAACAAAAAAAAAAGTAATCTTACAACAATGGCTAAGCTACAATGCACACCCAGTTGTCCAGTTTAATCTTGCTTCAGGTGGACTCCCTTGAAGAAAAAAAAAAACCCTAAATTGTCCCTTAAAGAAACCAGCTGAAACCATACAGAGTGGAAAACAAAAGAGTAGCCGAAAGAAGACACTGCTGGAAGGGAATCACAAGCAGTATTCTGTAAGCAGAGAAAATTGAGGTGTGCCCAAGTTTTCCAAAGTATCTGTCTGGAAACCTTTAGTAGAAATAAATGATCAAGGGAGCATAACCCTGGGCGCAGGCCAAGGATGGCATCACAGTGAATCAGCTGAGAAGATGCCATTAAATCACTTGCTGTTGCCCAGGATCATCTCTCCTCCTGTTCCTTCCCCTCCGCCATCAATCCTGTTTCTTTCTAATCTTGTGCATACTTTGAATGAAAAGCAATTTATTAAGAAAGACAGTCAAAGAGAGGAACATTTTGAAATGGCAGGTATACTTTATAGATGATGACTTTTCATGATAGCAGAAGTTACAAAAACACTCTACTCTTAGGACTTATTGGGCTTGGGAAGTTTAAAAGCAGGAAGAGTCATAAAGATCAAGGAAGATTTTTTTCTTTCGTTCTTTCTTTTTTCTTTTTCAAAACATTGCTTATGGAGAAGACCTAAACTGCAGTACTTTACATTGCTGTGAAACAGCATTAGTCATGTATTATTTGCTTTGCAAATTAGTTTATGTACAGATGAGTTTTCTCTCTCTCTCTCTCTCTCTCTCTCTCTCTCTCGCATACTTTTATGTGTATTAAACTCCAAATATGGAGAATGTGAACTACACACATACACAGACAGACAAACAGACAGACACCTATGACTGAACCGAATCATGTTTGTAAAACTTTCCCAAATCTTTTCCTTCCAAATTTATTTTCAACTTCGAACAATTCTCAAGCATTACGGCATTTACTCCAGCCCATCGCCCTGAACATCCAAATAGTTTTATGGGTAGGGAAGAGTTTGTTTGCTTTTTTTTAAAGAAATCAACTTTCTTTGTTGTACAGCTTTAATCTAACTGGACACAATGACCAAAAAAAAAAAAAAAAAAAGCAAGGGGGGGGTAGATAAAAGCATAATCCCACCCACATTAAAGCCAAACAAGATAACAATTGTACTTGCCTGGCTAAAAGAGTCTATAGAGGGCAAGACTTGCGTCATTGGCACTCAGGTTACCATAGTGAGTGATTTATTGATATCTATCAAGAATGAATAGATCAAAGGCAGCAAGATGACAGGTGATCAATCAAATGTCAAATCAAAGCTGGCAATCAACTGGAAAGCTGGTTGTTGGTGGGTTTTTTTTTCCCCTCCCTCCCGGTGGGTGGGTGGGTCTGGTGACAAGAGAAACGAACTTCTTCCTAGCTGCGGTGAAAAACAGCCCCACCAACTCTTTCCAAGTACACCGAAGCAAACTTGAACTCACAGCCAGACCAAGGCGAAGCCTCCACCACCACCCCACCACCCCGGTTACCGCCTTCCCAGCCAGGCCATCCATCCATCAGCTTCTCGGCCTCGGGAGCATCCAGCTTGCCTGGCCCTCCCCACGCCCACCGTTTCCCCAAAAGTTGAGCGAGTTCTCCGGCTTCTGGAAAAAAACGCAGCCCCGCCGCCTGTGACCCACGCGCGGCCTTTGGTTGGGCCTCTCGCTTGGCAACTTTGGCGAACCAGGCAAGCGTCGAGCCAAGCCGAGCCGAGCCGAGCCGGGCAGCGAGAAGCCCGGATCCGCACGGGATTTCCACCACCACCCCCATGAGCTGCTCGCCGCCGACCCCCCCCCCCCCCCCGCCCTCCGAACGCTCACTCGGTTTCCGGCCGGACTTTCGCTTTGCTTTCCCTTTCTTTTTCGCACGCCGAAGAGATCAAAGGGCTGAACTTCAACCCGGCGGGTTCATCCGCGGCACCCCCCCCCCCGAGCTTCGCCGCCTCCCCACCCCCACCCCACCCCCCGAGTGGGTATTGCTCCCGGACGAGCCTCTCAAACTGCAGCAAAGAAACAAAGCTTTCCACCACCACCACCACCCCAAAAAGAAAAAAAGAAAAAAAAACCCGGCACCGCTGGCGACCCCCTCCCACCTCCTTCACACCCCCCCCCCCAAAAAAAAAAACCACCCCCCAAAAAATCGCTCATCCTTTCCGGACGCCACCTGCCTTGCAAAAAAAATATACAGGTCCAACGGTCCATCCTTCCCCCCCACCCTTCCACACACACACACACACACACACACACCCATGCCCGAAGCGATGCCAAGCGAGGAAAGGGCTTGCAAAGAGAGAGGCGGAGGAGAGGGCTTCGGAGGGAAAGCCGAGCGGAAGAAAGTTGAGTGTTGAGTGGGGAGGGGGGGGTGGAAAGGAGGGAGGGAGAGAGAAAGTTTAAGGAAACCGTCGCTTGGAAAAGCGGGGCAAGGGAAACGCCAACACGCCGCCCCCACACCCTTTCCTTTCCCCCCCCCCCTAAAAAAAAGCGAAAAAGACAGCAAACTGCAAAAGAAACTGCTTCCAATCCCGTCCGAGTTGAAGGCAAGAGAGCTCGGTGTGGTTGCGTGCGCGCGGGTTTGTGTGTGTCAGGGCGAGGAAAGAGAAAGAGGACTGCAAAATAATAATCATAATAAAATAAAAAAATAGTAATAACCAAGAGGCGGAGGTAGAGCTGCTGGCAACCGGGCGCGCGAAGAAGCGTCTGAAATTCCCCGGCACGCACCCACGGAGGGAACGTCGGAAGGGATGATGACCCACCAGCCCGGAGGCGGGGAGAGGAGCCCGGGGGCGCCTCGGCCGTCTTTCTTACCTGCCGCCCTTTTGGGTGCCTGCTGTTTCCGCCTTGGCATCGCTGTACTTTCTCCAACCTCACTTCTCTTTTCCCAGATCCGAAGCCGCTCCGAGGCCGGCGGGGTTTGTTTTCTCTCGCTCGCTCTCTTTCTCCCTCACTCTCGGCGTGCGCGCCTGCGTGTGTGTGTGTGTGTGCGCGCGTGTGTGTTTTTTTTCCTCCCTTTTCCCTCCTTCCCTCAGCCGCTCAACGGCACGGCGGCAATCCCAGCGCCGAGCGCCTTCGCTTTCTCCTCAAGGCGCGATCAACCTGTTCGGGGATGCGGAGGGTGGCAGCTTTGTTTGGGGCTCTTTTCTCTCCCTTCTTTCTCTCCCCCCCTCTTTCTTTCTTTCTTTCTTTCTTACAACCAAAACGGCGCTGGGGGAGCTGAGGGGGGGCCGCCTTTTTTGTCCCTCTTGTTTTGTTTGAACTGTTGCGAGACTTCCTTTGATGCAGACATCCAGGCACAATCCAAGGCAAAAGGAGAGGAAACCCTCGCTGGGCGCCGGGGCAATTTTTTTTTTTTCTCTCCTTCTTTCTTTCTTAAAGTGGATCAATAAATAACAAAATCGGGATGCGTAAATAGTTCTGTTTGCTCGGCTGGCGAAGAAGAAGGGGGGGGGAGGTTTGCTATTTCCTCGTCTTCCCCCCCCTTGGCCTTTTATTATTATTATTATAATTATTATTATTATTATTTTTCCCCCTTCTCCTCTCCGCCTCCTTCGCGTAGCTCTCTCTATGGCGGCTGGGCGACTATCCGCCGAGGAGGAAAAAAAAAAAAAAACCTGCAGGTTTGCAGCCGCCAGATGCCGGGTTGGGAGTGATGTGGATGAGGAACGGCGGAGCTCGGGGGTGGAAGGAAATCTGGGTGTTCACACACACACACACTCACGCGTCCACACACGCACGCACCCTAACCCACATCCATATACCTCAGCCTCCCCCCCACGCACACACACACTCACAAATACACACACAAACACACACTCACACACACAGGCAGGACGAGGCGATGCCAGGAAGCATCGATCCACTGAGCAAACTGTGTATTAGTAAACCCCTCCTCCGCGACCTGATGACAGGATGAAATTTACTCCGAGCAGACAGAAGGCAGTCAGTTTATTAAAGAGACAGGACTTTGGCTGATCGCAGACGTCTGGGCCGGAGCTGCGGGGTGGGGGTTGGAAATGGGGTTGGAGTGGGGGATGCAGCCGTTCCGGAGCACCGACCTGTGTGCCTATCCCGTTTCCACCCCCTGCGACCCTTTCCCTGCAAAGCCCCATTTTTGTCTCATAAATCTGAACCCCGTTTCTCCCTCCCATCCATCCATCCACCCCCTCCCCCGGTCCTTTAATGGTCCATTCATTGCATCTTGAATTCGGTCTTTAAAAATTGCTTTTTTTTCTTCTTTTTTTTACCCGGCAGAGGTTGTCTCGAGATTTGGTGATTGGTGAGCTGGTACACTTGGGCTGCTGAACATGTTTAGAGTGCTTTTATCCAAAGGTTTTTATGATACAGCTCTTCTTCCCCTTCGCCCTGCCTGCAGTCTTTTAATATAAACAGATGCTCTTTCTTTGCATTTCTGCAGAACACTTTTTCCCCCTTTTTTTTTAAAAAAAGAAAAAGGTCTTTCTTTCTTTTTCTTTTTTTCTTTCTTTCTTTTTTTCTTTCTTTCTTTCTTTCTTTCTTTCTTTCTTTCTTTCTTTCTTTCTTTCCTTCTTGCTGTCATGCAACCGTTTTTAGCTCTGTAATTCTCCCTTCTCTTTTGAAATATTATGTTATCCCTCCCTCCTCTCCCCTTTTATCTGCACGTAAAGCTAAATTTGGAGGCATATACAATTCCTCTTCTCTTTTCCTCACTTTTTGGAAAATAGATCCGCTGACAAGTTCTCACCGCTGGAGAAAAGGCATCTGAAAGGCACTGGGTTGTCTCTGGAACAAGCTGTGTGAAGTTTCCTTTTATTTCCTCTTCCTCTGTTTCGCCCAGGTGTTTGGCAGAGATGGGCAGATGAAGGTTGCAGCTGTTTGTATGCTGGTACGTGCTGAACACAAGTCCACAGAAGTGGAGAACAAACTTGAGAAAACTGAACTGGGAAGAACAAATCGGGGAACAGCTGAAGGCAAATAGGGTTTACCCATAGATGTCTTATTTCGACAAATTGCTTATTGTGAGCGGTGGGGGGAAACCCCAGCATGCATGGACAGCATATGAAAAGCACACACAAGTCTATTTGGACACGGGCACATAGGGAAGGTCTTCTTGGACCTGTGCATGTGCCAGATGAGGCTTTCTGCTGTGTGACTACACCCCTCAGTGTGCAAGTATTTGGGTTATGGTCGCTTTCATGTTGTTGGCTTTGTACCACTTTGGAACTAGATTGTTCACAGCCTTATTAATTTGGGGGCATTTAATCAATTGTTCTTTGGAAGCTACAGCCAAAGCTGGCATTTTCTTTTCAACTTCTGCAGCACTGCAGCTTTTGTGAATGGGGTTTCTCCCCCCCCACCCCATTTTCAGATGTTTTAGCTGGCCATCCTCCCCCCCCAAGAGATTCAGTGTCCTTTTCTATGAGCTTCCCTTTTCCTGAATCCAATGATTAGATCTTTTCTCTCTTCTTCCCCCCGATACAATTGCCACACACAAGCCCATTTCTTCACTATTGAGAAAAGCAACTGCCCGCACAAAAATCCACACTATCATTTCATCCTCACAATTTGCAGAGGTAGTTGGTTTTGGGGGGTCGGGGGGGGGACACACCTAGAAGAACTTTGTGGGATTCTTTGGACTACTTAGGTTCTGAGTTGTTTTTGCAATTGGAGCAATGTCTTATCATTTTTTGACAAACCACCAGGCAAATTTTGGATCTCAATATATCTACAGACAAACATACAGTAGAGGAAAATTGTGGCTCTTCATTTTTTTAAAAATAAAAATATTATGCGAGTGAATGGGATTTTTGATACTCCATGACTATGGACAGTTTAGGAATAATATACTTGTTGGGAGGGAAATATTTGTATTCTTTCCTACTGCTCAACTGGAAAGAAAGACAGTGTAATTCCTCTTTTGTGGGTTTTTTTAAATTATTATTTCTATTTATTATTGCTAGGCTGGCAGTAGTTTTAAACTGTTTTGCAGGGAATGGGAAGGGGTTAAGCAGTCTGGTGAGATGGAAGTGTCCTGTCACAGACTGGTGTGCAGAATATATATGTCTTTTCCACCTGGAATTCATAACCAGAAAGGAACTCACCTTGTGTAAAATGTGTAAAGAGGAAGTAATGTTACAATTTGACAGTTACCCAGACATTGAAAACATCTGCAGCCGAGACATCCAGCAGTTTGGCTACTATTTTCAGCAGAGGGGAACAAAATGGGGGGGGGGGGGACTGGCTGCTATTGCAAACAAAATTTAATAGAAAAACGAGGACTTTGTTCCTTTCTTACCCCTGGATTTAGGGGCTGGCTAGGAATGTCTGCAGAAGTAGTCAAGATGGGTGCTGCTGCAGCCCTGTGATCAAAGCACCCTCATTTTTTTATGCACCTTGATGCATGGCATGATTGCAGTTGACATTATTTTGCGCTCTTGCACTCTTGCGCTCTTGTGATCTGGCGAGATCCGGCCATGAATGGCGTCAATGAGTTTTTAATGTTTTTAATTTTTAAATGTTTTTTATAATGATTTTTTTAAAATGTACTGTGAGCCGCCCTGAGTCTTCGGAGAAGGGCGGCATATAAATTGAATTAATTAAATTAAATTAATATTTTTTTAAATTCTTCCCATGTGGACAGCCCTGGCTTGGCTTTTGACATGTCACTAGTTTTCATGGTGTCATTTAGCTAACTATGAGGGCTAATGTATTTTAACATGAAACATACAATTCTGCATATCATTCTGCCCCAATGCATGGATTCTGCAACATTCTGAATCCATTCTTGAAAGGCATCAAGTAAAAGGGAAAAACCAGCTGATATTTGTTACTGGCCCAGAGTCACATCTGCAACATGGGTGGTCATATAAAACAATCTAAAACAAACAAACGAATAGAGAAATAAAAGCTCTCTAATGCTGTTGACTGAAATAGCCACTAAGGAGAATGGGTGTATATTGAATTGATAATCTGATGCTCCATTGCATGCCCCCAATGATTTTTACCCAGTGTTGAGGTACATAGTAAAAATGATCACATGTCAACGAAAGCTGAAATACATCTGGTTGCACAGCAGGGCAATTGGATGGTGGAATACATTATTTGTTTGTTTGTTTGATTGATTGATTGCCATTGTTGTTCCTTCAACCAAAAATAACACTCTAGGCAGCACATAATATAATACAATTACAATCTGAACTATAAAACTGGCCAATTAAACCCATAACAAATTAGAACATATCAGTCAGAAATAAATAACAAGTCCCCATCATCATCTGCCATAGTGTATGGAGAAGTCATCAAATTTGACCAGCTCGGAGCCCTCTTTTCTATCTCTGAACCTACTAACAGTGGAAAATGTAAGAACAACACTCCCAAACTGCAAGGGACTGCATATTTGCTAGGATGTGCCTCAGTGGAGGACATAAAATTCTGATGTGTTTCTAAAATTGAAATCCTTCAATACAATAAATTTAGAGTAATACTCTGCCAAACCTGAACACACTCCTGGCTAGCATTAAGGGGCCCTGGTGGCACAGCGGTTAGAATGCAGTACTGCAGGCTAATTCTGCCCACAGCCTGGAGTTTGATCCTGATAGGGCTCAAGGTTGACCTTCCATCCTTCCGAAGGTCGGTAAAATGAAGACCCAGTTTGTTAGGGGAAATATAGTGACTCTGTAAAACTGCCTAGAGAATGTTGTAAAACACTATGGAGCAGTATATAAGTCTAAGTGCTATTGCTATTCATAAAAATCTTGTAGAGAGCAGAAGGAATTAATATGAAGGACAGGAGAGAGACCTACTACCAAGGAAGTTGTCAGCTAGAAAGGGTCTGAGCCCAGGCCAAGAATGTTGCATGGGTAAACATCCCTGACTAGCCCTTCTTTATCTCTTCAAGATAGAGGCAAGTTAAATAGGAAAGATATTGCAAGATTCTGTTACTAAAGCTTTAAAATTAAAGAGGTGCTGACCTACATAACATTGTTTTTTCTAGGCTGGTCTACCTTGAAGGGTTGATAATGGTCCTCTTGCTGTATTCCTAAATTGTTCAGGGAACCTAAATGTTCAAGTCACAATGGGAAGTTTGTTAGATTGAGTATCTTGGTCACTACAATGCATTTCTGTGACCACTCATTCTTTCTACTCTCCAGTCCTAGTTGCTTCATCCTGAAGTAGACAAGCAAACAGAACTAATGGAGGCGATTAAATCCTTCCTTGTTGTCTGATAGTCCTTCATAGTACAGGATAATAAATGCTTTAATTTGACCTCACCTGGTATGTTGAAGAGTAAGGTTTTAGACCACGGGTGTCAAACTCGATCGTCTCATGGACAGGATCATGACGTATTGTGACTTTTTTTTTCCTTTGAGGAGCCAGGGTGGGTGTGGTCTGCATATGACATAGCAATAGCAATAGCACTTCGACTTATATACCGCTTCACAGTGCTTTACAGCCCTCTCTAAGCAATTTACAGAGTCAGCATATTGCCCCCAACAATCTGGATCCTCATTTTACCCACCTCGGAAGGATGGAAGGCTGAGTCAACCTTGAGCCTGGTGAGATTCAATCTGCCAAACTGCAGGCAGCCGGCGATCAGCAGAAGTAGCCTGAAGTACTGCACTCTAACCACTGCGCCACCGCGACTCTGGTCCATGGGCCATCAGTTTGACAGGCGTGTCATTTAGGCCATTGCCACGGTTACTTTGACTTCCTTGAGTAGGCTGCAACCTGAAAGGTCCTTCAAGGCAAAGTTTTCCATTGCAACTTGAAACCAGTTAAGCTTAAACTAGCTTAAACAAAAGTGAGCAAATTGCAGTGTCTGAA